CTATTTTGTCTTAATTTGCTAGGAAAGTATAACTAAGAATGTGTCCATTAACACTTTTCTTATTGTCTCTATTAAGGGGAAGACACTTTGTTATTGTGTTCTTTGCCGGTAGCACTCACTACTTTACACTAACACTTCACTATGTTAACTCAAAAGGTTTTGTCCTTTTTAGCCTTCTCACTACTTTTAAAATAGCACGATTTTTATTATATCCTGAGGCATGAAAAAAGGAGATGAACAAAGATTAGTGTCTTGATTTTCATACTTTATGTCATTTTCATTAAAAAACAGATTCAACAAACAGTCAACAAAAATACAGCAAGAAACACCGAGATAATCTATAGAATCCTGCACTAATTACCTCTAGAACGTATTAATTTAATTAAAAGGTAATTGAACTGTAATCGCAGATGATCGCCATGTAGCATGCAGTGAGGAAATGCAGTTAGAATGTTTGTTGCAATTTTCCAGCCAGGAATGCAAGGAATGAAGTAGACATACTGGTTCTTGTACACACTGGAGATGTAAGACTGCAGTTATAGAAATATGATCATTAAATTTTATGATAGTGAGTGACATATAGCATAGGCATTTTAATTAACCTAACTAAAAGTTTAATTAAAATAAATCCATAAGCTGTATCAACAGAGACGATAGAGAATAAAGTCAGTGTTTGAGGATGACTGACTGACTATTCAAAATTCTAAATATATTATTATGTTTTCGGCTTGCTCACGTAATTATTTGACAATGAACTCGACTACCTCTAGTTTCATAGCAGTAGCAGCGCGACAGTCGCCGCGTCGCGGGTCGCGAAATGCGCGTGGGCCTCTAGTGTGGCTTGAAACTAGTCGAGTTCCTCGTCAAATAATTACGTGAGTAAGCCGAAAACATAATAATATATCTCGTTATTTTAGATGCGTAAGTAGGAAGGGTTTATACCCGGGAATTCTGGAGTCGGCCTTTGTCTCCGGGAAAAGCTCGATACATGTAGAAAATACGAGATGTCGCATGTGAGCTTAAGAATAAGGAGAAGGCTGTCTGATAAAGTTACAAGTTTGATTCAAGTAATATTTATGTGATCTACAAATTATTTAGGATCCGGTAATGTAATAGTGAATACTATTGTCTTTCGGTACTTATCAAAATTATTGGAAACCACAATAAACGTCAAATTGTGTCATATTCACAGAATAGTATTCCCCACTCGTTGATGTCTTTTATATAGGGAAACTTGCGACCGGTTTTCTGGAATTATTTTACAATATAAACTGAAATGTAGTTATTTATCCATTACGGAGTTCATTATTAGTCTCTAGGATAAGCCTATTTATTACACTTAAATATAAATAGGGCAGATTTTAAAAGTAACCACAATTTGCACGTACCTACAAATTAAAACTGCTTATGCAGTACTGGGTTGGATTATTGAGTAAAATTTTAGTCTGGAATAATTAACTTACAGTATAATTACTAAAAAATTAATATCACTGGAACCAAATATAGAAGAAGAGGAATATACTTAGAAGACCAGTAATACATTTCTTAATCAGAAAGTTTTACTGTAAGGGCATCGCACCACACTATTAACATACAATTAAACACAATAAGAAACGAATCCCTAGGCCTTACGGGGCATTATTTCACCGTCCACCATACTTTGACCATCATTTTACAATATCAGCTTCAGAAACTATACAAAAACCTACCTTAATCCTATAAAACAAAATTCATATCACCTTAACACGTGTTGATGGAGAAGCTAGTTTGTTGTTATAGGAAATTCAACTTTATTTGGAAGGGGGGGAGTTTAGAATGTGTTGTGGGTTGTGTGTGAAGAGGCTCGCGTAAGATTGGTAAAGTTTACTTTCGCCGGCGGGCGATGTCGGTCGGAATGCCCGATGTGCCGACTAGCCACACTGCCGTGTCTACCACTTGGCCATAGAGTGGGCTGAGTAACAGATGGTAAAATAGGTAAACTTGAAATATTAAACCCAAAAAAAGAAGAGCCAGTTTAGAAACATACACTGGCTCTTTTTATATAAGAAAGCGTGGGCGTCGACTCATTTTAGGAATATTTTTTATGTAGTTTTACTTAAAATACATCTAAATCCATATTTATGCAGATTGATCAGAGCTGGAGCAACAATTTGTGAATTATTGCAAATTTGCGATTATTTACAAATAAGTTAATTTTGCACCGCGGCGTATTCCATTTAAGTTCTTACATTCACTTTAATATTCTTTAAAAGTATTGGAAAAACGTTAAATGATTTAACGTTAGGTTCACATTAACGAAGAGATTAAATGATCTTTAATACTTTTATGTATAAACTAAAGCTTGTGATAAGTTATACCACTTTTATATAAAAAATACATGTTATTACTGAAATAATAATACAATAGACAAATTAACGAAATTGATATATGTTAGCAAAAAAATATTTATCAACAAAATTAAATCAACTTTAAAAAACCTTAAATTATCAGTATCAAAATTTAGGAGTTCTACAAGGAAGTACTCTTGGACCATTCTTTATTTTTAAAGCTTGGAAGTCCCTCTCGTTAGTGTATTAGATTAGTTGAATAATAAAATGTAATCGTACTCCCATATATATTAGTCATAGTTGGAAATATTAAACTGTTGGAATATGTGAAAGGAATTTTATCACAGAAAGAATAACATTTAATATTGTATGAAGTTCAATTTAATTGTAGTTCGGGTAAAGTCCCGCAGGGACGATTAATAATGAATAATGTTTCAACTTCATTATGTGTGGATAAATTGAGTTCAATAATTCGTGTTTTTCTTTTTTTACCATAGTATACAAAACAATTACATAATATATTAAATACGATTGTATTTATTGAAAAAAAAATTAAAGACATTTTCGTTACTAAACTATGTATTTTAAAATTATTGAAATGAATATGTTGAATATCATAAGCTTAAATCGAAACTTAAGTTTCATATGATATTATGTCCTCACAGAGGCGCCAATAAGTTATCTACAAACGAAACGCTTAAACAGAAAGGCTCTTTGTAGAGTCGACGGCGAACCTACAGTAAACAATTGCGGACAGTTCTCGCCCGTGCCCCGCGTGAGCCGCGCGCCCGCAACGACACTGTAAATGACCTACCCGACAGGTGTCTGTGAATCTAATTCAAATATCGAATGAGAAAAAAAAGAAACAAGATTCGTTCGTTTACTTTTTTTATTATTTTTTTCTCACAAACTTTTTTTTTATTAATGTACCGTTGCGTTGTGATGTTTCCGTTAACCGTGTGTATTGTGCTGTGAGACCCAATGGACTGTTCTCGTGGAAAATGGTTTTAGTTGCTTCTTCTATCTCGCGTGTATACTGTTTTTGACGTTTACATGACGTTTCTGGCTGTATGGAATGGGTTTGGATGTGTAAACTATTGACCTGTACCGAGTATTTTTTTTTGTTACTTTTTTCAGTTTTAATGAATTAGAGTTTTGTTATTGTGTTTAGGAAACTATTTCTGTTGCTCAAGGTTTTACAGTTATGTTAGAATTGTTAAGTTAGACGTCCTTACAAGGTTAAGTCAGGTTTGTATCTGTTGTGTCTCTGTGCACATTCTTGCAACAGTTGTTATCCATTACGTTGAGATTTCGTAACACCAGCAAAAAAAATGAGAACATATAGAAATTAATTTCACAAAAATTTTAAGTAACAAAATTGAGTTCAGACCTAAATACAAAATTGAAAGTCGTAATGATTGAGTCACAGTCAATCGTATGCAAGTAATTCTCACGATAAACGCCGAATAGTTGACTTTTATGAGGTAGACTTAGGAGCAACAACCGACCTTGAGTCGGACGCCATAGAAAAACATATACAAGAAACAATATAAGCCAATAAAAGTCCTTATCACCCGCATAAATATATACAAGAATTTGTACAAACTTACCTATAACAAAGGTTTACTTACTACCTTTACTGATGGTAAAATAGAATACAAGTCTAAGTCAAAATCTTTTATTTCAATTAGACCAGCAAGGCACTTTTGTACGTCAATAAAAAAATTAAAAGTAAAGCTATTTGCTCATTCCAATGTGTACATTCCTATGGAGAAAAACGAGCTAAAAACTCCATAGCTTACTCTTTTTCAATCAGGTTCACAATACAGTTCCATAGTTACATAGTTTTATTGGTTCATACATTTTTCAATTACAATTTCATTACATTTTTCACTATCCTTTCTCTTTCCACGGGTATTATAAAAGTCTACTGACAGCCGATATTAAAACTTATCTCAATCAGCTTCCTTTGAGATGAATGTCAAAAATTGACCCACATATTTTATATTAAAATATATAATTCGACCATACTTCGCAAGTTGACATTTAACTGAGACTGGGTTTCGTTCTTTGATATACCTGAACCTTTTAAACTGCGCCCAACCGCCTACCAAGCGTGGAGAACACGGCAAACTCATCTTATGTAGAGGAGGCCCATAATCCGGTAGGATAGAATAATCTTTATTGTACACCATTTATAATACAGGGTGTAAACGGAACCCTCCCGAAAAACGCCTAAGGTTAGGAAATAAGTTCTATTTTCATAAAGGTAAGGAATTAGATGTTTCTTTTATGTACCTAATAATAATTGTAATCAACTGCTCAAGGCTAATATAGCACGAATAACACGAAAACAAAACGATTAATATTGTAAAAAAAAAATTTTCTTTGCGTTTCGAAAGCGATCCATTTACATCCTGTCTAGTACAGAAAAAAAGATACAACAAACATAAATAAAAAGTAATAATGTACACAAAGGCGGTCTTATCACTTATAGTGATTTCTACCAGGACCAGAACCTATAGTAGTGGTCACTCCGGTAGTGGACAGTCCAATAGCTCAATAGATATCTGTCACAGGCTCTTGACATGTAATATGATATGTATGTATGTATGTCACAAGCACTTATCACGAAGACGTTAAACGCATAGAATTTGTTTTGCAAGTAATGGCAATGTTGCAAATTGTGGATGCTCATTGAAGCGCACTCCCACTGTTTCTAGATACGTTTTGTTAATTCACACATTTGATTGTAGCCTTCGATTGCAAATACTACTACTGAATATGATTTTGAATAATTTGTATTTTGAAATTGGAATTGAAAGAGACTGCCTCGTTGGCCGAGTGTTCGCAAGTGCGACTGCCGGGCAAGGGGTCTCGGGCTCGATTCCTGGGTGGAGCAAACTATTACTGGGTTTTTTTTAAATTATCAGTTGTAGCACAGAGCCTGGAATTATGCCCGGTATATGGAAATAGGCTCACCCCCTATTACATGGGACTCATAACATAAATAGTGGAAAGTGGGTGTTACTTCTGTGTGCATCTCTGCCAACCCCTGCGGGGATAAAAGGCGATGTTATGTTATTATGTTATGTTGTATTTTGAAATTCTCTATATTTTTATGGGTAGTAGTAATCATCATCATCAATAGCCACTGCTGAGCAAAGCCTCTTCACCCACGGAGAAGGTTAGAGCATTAATAGCCACGCTTGCACAATACAGGTTGGCGATTTCAAACTTAGAATTAGAAATTATAAGCCCAGGTTTCCCCACCATATTTTCCTTCACCGTTTGTCAGTGATGTCTAAACAATCTTAGAAAGTACATATAACTCGGAAAAAGTCACATTGATCTTGGGTAGTAGTAATCTTACCCTTTAATACAAAGTTAGAAACAACAGTACATACTTCTACAGTATCTTCATTTCATTTTTGATGTTCTATTGTCACCCAACATTATTATGTTTACTTATGTGTACTTAATATTTTTTCTTGGGTGCAGTTCATAAGTAAGTTTGGTCTACAACACTATTCCTTAACTTCATACATGGTCTACGTATAATATTTATTTATGTAAAAAAGTGAAGATACCGGAGGCCCAATTACCCTCCCCTTCCCCAATCTCTCCAATTCCTGAATCCCCAACGGTCCTCAAACTCTTAATCCCCAAAAGGCCGGTAACGCACTTGTAACGCCTCTGGTGTTCCAGGTGTCCATGGGCGAAGCCGATTGCTTACCATCAGGTGATCCGTCTGCTCGTTTACCGGCTTATGCCGTCATATGCCAAATCCATTAAAGCTGTTTAACTTACCTACTTCTTTCAATTTGTCATCATTACATCAACAACAAGATACTGAATATAGGGCCTCATAATATCTTGCCCCGCCAAAAGCAATCGTACTTAAGTAATTTCTTCATTATTTCAATGTGTTTATTTGATTTAACCTTACCGGAACTTCTCAATCATCAACCAACTAAGAGCTCTAGTTAAAATAGTTATTCAATAGGCAATAAAAATAAAAAAGTTTATAAAAAAGTCCATTTCAAAGTGAGAGTGAATGACGTAAGCTTTCAAGTCTAGTTTTAAAATAGTCTATCTAGATAGCCGATATATAATCAATGCGGAAAATATTTTATACATTAAACATGCATTATTTATTTAAAACACTCATATAAATATATAGCGTTATTTAATACAATAATTACGTAATGTTTTAAAAGTATTTTGTAAAATAAATTGTAAACAATTTTTGGTGTACGATCGGATTGTTACTAAAAACTTAATAATTTGTGTCAAACTTAATAAATTTAACACAAATTAATAAATTGCTTTAAACATGATGTATGTAAATTAACCTCATTCTATTTTCCATATCAATTTTGCTAAATATGCTTTTGAATTCCTATTCAAATGTTTTGTATGTCCCAATATATGTATTTCCTAACCGACCGTCAACCTTCAAGAAAATAGCGTATTCCTTTTTAATAGTCCGGCAACGCACCTGTGTTGTGTCTGGGTGTCCATGGGCGGAACTGATCGCTTACCATCAGGTGATACGTCTGCTCATTTGCCTCCTATTACATAAAAAATAATAACTATCGTGAGACATACTAAATTAAGTAAAAACGCGGGTTACTCACGTGAATATACTGAGAAAAGCTCTACTAGTTTCGAACCACAGAGGGGTTCTTCCTCATGAGCAGCGTGCGCGGTCGCGGCGACGTCGCGCAGCTCACTGAGGAAGAACCCCTCTGTGGTTCGAAACTAGTAGAGCTTTTCTCAGTATATTCACGTGAGTAACCCGCGTTTTTACTTAATTTACATAAAAAATGTCTATAGAATAGAATAATATTTGTTTTTGCAAATATGGATATACAATAGACATCTTATCGATAGATTTTGAATAATTAACATTATTTATTTATACATATTCCCATTTCAAATAAAATCTATAATAATGCCTTAACTTTAATTTTTCTTCTTTACGATACATACATATGTGAGAACTTGTCGATTATGTAACTTATCGGAACCAGTAAACCACATCAAAACTGGTTTGTAGACATTTTTATAGAATAATAGTAAACAATCTGTAAGGCTGTCTGATTTCATCTCGACCTTTGGGTTGATGTTTATATTTCACATTGATTATATTAAATTTCTGATAAAAACCCGGTTGGTCTTTAACTTCTCCAATTAGTCGTTATTGCAATTCATTATTTTCATCATCTTCTTGCCTTAATCTCAAGTTACATGAGGTCTAGGGCCCTCGTAACACGCCTCCTTCAGTTCTTCTCTATCAAACGTTATCCTATCACACCTCCTTTCTCTTTCATATCATTCTTAATATCTCTTCCTTGGTCGTCTTCTTCCATTCCATTTCATATTTCACACCATTCATTTTATTATCTTGTCATTATTCCTAACTATCGTTAAGATTACAGCGTAAATGGTTTAAAACATCGTTTCCCAACCTGTGGTCCGCAGACCCCTGGGGGTCAGCTAGCATATGTATGGGGGTCTGCGGTGTCATCTCTGGACCACACATAAATCGCTCATTAAATGCAAAAGGGTCGCAAAAATAGCTAACAAAGTAGAATCTGATTTGAGATTACAGACTACTACTAAGCAGTGGCGACATCAACCCGAATATCCCTGATTTAGTTGCAAAAATGCATCACTGACCTTCACATTAATTTGTTTTTTTTTTCATATTAATTACCAGTTATAATTACCTTCTGTGTTTGTTTTTTTTAGTATCTGTAATCACTAACACACAATAAATACGTATTCCGTTTTTTTTTTTTGCTATTTTAGTAAG